AACTTAACTCTTACTGTTTCTTCATTGTAAGATGCATTTACATTGACAAATGCAAAAATGGCGGACCATGACGAACTGATGTTTCTTTCAAGCTCAAGCACACAACTAAACTGTCAGCAGTGGAGCTTTTTTTTTAATAAACAGTAACAGAAAAGCTGTCTTTTACCGTAACCAGCTGCCTAATAACATATTTGTACGTCAACTTACATGCATAGTAGGCATGAGTGCATTTACAAATTGCACTTTCATTGTTGGGAGATAACTGCTTTTTCATGAAGTCGAGTCAAATGTATTTGCCCTGAGTTCACAAGTAGAAACCTTAACCTCTTGTGGTTCCTTTTACTTTTCTCTACGCTCTAGCTGTTTATTGTAACATGTCCCTCCCCTTTTAGAAACGCAGGATGACTTGGAGGCAATCACCAATGACATAAAGAAGATGGCCAACAATGCAAGAAACAAACTTAAGAGTGAGTCTGCCCACCACACACATGCTCATCAGTGTGTAATAACATGGGGATGTTTTGGGGATTTAATGAGAATTTCTGCTGATGTGAAGTTGATTTGAAAGCTGAATCATAAATGAGTTGTTTGGATTGCTTCTCAGCCATCGAGAGGAATCTGGAGTCAGAGGAGCAGGAAAGGGTGTCGGCTGACATTCGGATACGTAAATCACAGGTAGATTATATCCATCTGAAGTTTCCTCCACAGGCATGTCTACTGTACATTCAGATCATGCACTGAATCAATACTCAATGAATATATAATGTCGTTTTTTACAAAAAAAAAGCACATTTTTAAGAGTGAGAGAAAACAAAAATGAACCAACATGCATGTAATATTACGAAAATCGGAAAATAGAGCTTTTAAAACCGTGGCAACAGCTATCGACAACAGCTACTTTTATGCTAATTTTCTTTGGCTTGTCGTCCCCCAGCATGCAGTGCTGTCCAGGAAGTTTGTGGAGGTAATGACAAAGTATAATGAAGCCCAGGTGGACTTCAGGGAGAGGAGTAAAGGACGTATTCAGAGACAACTAGAGATCAGTGAGTGCCGGCTCTAATGTCATGTGACGGACCAGAGATCTGATTCGTCAGTAACATTTACCTTTCCCCTCCAGCTGGAAAAGCAACAACAGATGACGAACTGGAGGAGATGTTGGAGAGCGGCAATTCTGCGGTGTTTGCTGCAGGGGTAAGTATGTGTGTGCATATGCATCTCCATTTTGTTATACAGTATCATAACGTCCACTTGGCCTTGACATGATCATAATGCGGTTGAAGCTAGCAGTCAGGAGTTCAGTCAAACTTGAAGCCTCAGATCACCTAGTTAAAGATTAGCTGTTCATGTGATTTAGCCTGCTGCACAGTCAGTTTGCTCTCTTGGGCCTTCTTGAGTATTCCAAACATGCTAACTTACAGCCAATGGGCAAAGACTGAAGCCTTATTAAGATGCATGAAACAGCTGAGATATTAAGCACCAGTGTGTAGCTACTGATCAGACCTGTGCTCTATGCACTTCATCAGCTGGGGGTTCCTCTCTGTGTCTGCTTTGCTGAGAAGGTGGTTGATGTCCCGTGCAGTTTGGGAAGATTTTTTTCTTTCACAAGGATAAACAACTTGTATTTCCCACATACCTTTCAAACAAAGCTGATCACGTGCTGTAGTTTTTATAATGACGGAACAACATCTTTATGTCGTAACCTAAGAGATTGTCTTTTTGTCCTACTGCAGTCAAGTGAGTACTAATGCTAACCATCTCAAAGTTGAGGTTTATAACATCATAAAGTGTGGCATTTTCTACTGCATTGGGTAAAATAATAATATATGGTGAGGTGAGATGTATGAGAAACACTCATTTGTTATTGTTAATGACATTATAGAGACAAATGATAAAAAAACATAACCTGACCTGAATTCGAACTGAGCGGCAACTTTGTATAAAAAGAAAGGAACACAGTAATACGTAATTAATCAGTTTCAATTAACATATTCCTAAATAATAAAATCCATACATTTAAAACATTTCATTAGGTCTAGTTTCTCATTATTCACCAATGTAGCACCTTTACTGTTAGCTCTCTGAATGTCCAGTGTCTTACTCAAGTTAACTTCACTTACTCACTTTACATTGTACCTGCTGAGCCACAGCCAGCCCCTTTAGTCTACATCTTCTTGAGCTGACACAGGTTGCCAGGTTTGAAATAAATAAATTGTCGTTTCCATTTAAAGGAAGTAGTTTCGCCTCTTTTAAATATTTCTCTGAATCACCATGAGTCACTCATTTGAACTCTTCCTGTTTTTAACGAGCTGCCTTTACAGCAAACCTCTATCAGCCAGAATGTTCAGAAAAGAACAAAAATACAGTTCTTAATTTAGGCAGATTATTGTGCCGTTTGTTTGCTATTAACAATAAACCTCTCCTCTCACAGATCGTGGATGCTGGGGTCTCTAAACAAGCTCTGAGTGAGATTGAAGCCAGACACAAAGACATTGTCCGTCTGGAAAGTAGCATCAAGGAGCTGCACGATATGTTTGTAGACATCGCCATGCTGGTGGAGAGCCAGGTACACTCCTCAAAATCCACCTACCCATCATTTCATCCACCCGTCAAGTACTTTAGGAACTTCTCCTCCATTTCATTCTTTGTTCACTCATTCTGAATCTTTCCCCTTATCTTTATGTTCAGTCCTGACTGTATTCAACTCTATCTTCCTGTCTCTTCTGTGCTCTTACTATCAATCTCCATCTGTTTCCTCTTTTCCAGCTCCATGCCTCTCTTACTCCTCTCTTTATTCTCTTCTGCCACCTCATCTCATCACCAAACATTGATGGAATCTACCTGAATGCATTTAGTAAGATGTACAAATAAAGCATCATTGTACACGTCATCAGAGCACACTATAATGAAAACACACACATATCTTCAATTGGTCAGTCACTGTATGCATATGGATTAATAAGTCTAACCACATATCTCTTACTGCTTGAACCATGCTTTCTGAGGGAAAAGCTTGTTTGAGGTAAGGGCTTCCCTCCTGCTGTTTGTTTTGTGTATTTTGTAAGATACGTTGAACTCAAAAATGTATTTATGTTGGATCTTGTCTGTGCACTTCACTAAAATATGAGATTCAAGCGTACCCGGGGCAAGCTAGATGAAATACATCACACATTTGGAAATGCTAAACACACGAATAGACAGGGAAACCGTCTTCCTCACATCACCGGACAAATTGCCGGTAAAGAGCAAGAGTTTTCATTAGCATAGTTTATGTTTTGACAGCATACATGGTAGGGTGGTTGGTGTTTTTTTGGAAGTAAACTGAAACCCGCAACTTCATGTATATCTACCCACTTGAAGATCTCCCACTTGGTGTGTGAATCACACGTGCTGCCGCTTTATCAGCTATTGCCAGTAACAGCCTAACAGTCTACCAAACAACATCAACAAATAAAAGATGCTAACTACTCTTACCATGCTGATATGTCTGCTAGTCGCTGAATATGGAGAACAACAGACTCCTCATCTGAGTAAAACAGATATGGCTGAATCTCTCCCAATGAGGGAACAATTATTAAATGTGCATCAAGACCCTTTTTATGTGGCTGGAAGCTGAATTGAACACATTTTATTTGAAGGTTATAGTTTGTTTTTCAAATAAATTCAGCATTAACTGAATCTTTCCCCTCAATATTTAAAAAAAAAATCCTTATGGAGTCACAATTAACAGTATATGTTTTTAACGGTATAATCAGTCTTGTAAGGTGTGATACCAGATGTATTACTGTATGTATTTAAACCAATTCTGCCTGTGAAGTGTTGCTCTGTAACTTATTGATTGTTTTGTGTTTTTCAGGGTGACAGTATTGACAACATAGAGCAGAATGTAGCCAAGTCAGAGGACCATATAACAGAGGCTAGGGAACAGACCAAGAAGGCTATAAGGCATCAGGGCAAAGCACGCAAGGTAATGTCATTTAACCGACCGCTGCACCAGTCTGCTGCCGGTGACCTCTTCCCTGTTTCTTCTGCCTAGACACATTTTGAAACATTTAAACCACAAAGCACAGTACGTACACATCACACTCCCTCGTCCTGCAGACACATCGCCGCTCACACACAACCGTTGCAATCTGTGTGCTTCGCTTTTTGTTTCTCTCTCTCTCTCGTTGTTTAATTCATCTTCTTTTGTTGCTTTTCGTCACCTCTGACGCCGTGCCCCATGTTAGGGTGGGATGATTGAAAGGATTGAGAACAACATGGACCAGTCAGTGGGCTTTGTGGAGCGAGCCGTAGCGGACACAAAGAAAGCTGCAAAGTTTCAGCAAGAGGCTCGCCGTGTGAGTGACCGCAGTCAGGAGGAGCGGTCAGGTTCCCCAAAAGCAACGGAAATAGTTTTAGTTTACCGATTTTACAATATGACATCATGAGATAAATGCTATTGAAATTTAAATACAAGCTTAACGATGTATTTGTTGCTCCATAATGCTGTACAGAGAAAAGAGAGTAATGTATTGCTACAGGCCAAAGACTGAGTCAGATTCAAGTGCCATGCCCTTGTATCAAATCATGATTTAGTCATGTAATCCGTGTTGTTCATATGACCTTGCACCAATGTAAACAGTGTGCAGTGTTGAAGCATCGGATAATTTCCCAAACCTATAGACCTCAATTCAAACCCGTCGTCCTGGATCACATTTGATTATGTAATCGGTACCTAAAAGAACAACAGGACTTCAATCCCAGGGTTTTTTTGTTATTTAAATGCCCAATCGTTTTTTTTGCTTTTGGGAAGCCTGCCTGACAACATGGAGACCATCCCCCACCATCAAGACCCTGAGCTTCACCTTTGATCATTTGCCCCTCACCATCCTACCGGCTCTGTTCTGAGCCTCCACCCTGTCGCCTGTGGACCCCTTGTGCTTTTAAAACCAGTGACCAGCCCAACACCAGACCACCCCTCCCACCTGCATATACAAACACACACTCACACTCACACACATACTCAACCGCACAGCTTCAACACTCTTCTCTCTCTGTTCTCTTTCTACAGCTTTAACCTTAACTTTGTCTTTGTTTACAGTTGCTGCATTACTCTTTTCGTTTTGCGTGTGTTTGAAGATGTTCCCCCTTCTTCCTCAGGCTTTTAACGTATATGTGTGAAAATAACTTTTGCCAACAGAAAAGTAAACACTGTTGCACCAAGACAAAACTGGTTTGTCAGACTTTAGCTAGATTGAAACTCTGAGAGGTTACCCAACACTACAGCGTGCATTTGTGATATTTGATATGGCCATTGTTAACATACTGTATATTGTACTGTACATATTCCCCAATTCAACTCAGTGGTGGAAAGGAAATAAGTGCATTTACTCAAGTATTGTACAAAGTTGTTTGCTTTACCTAAGTATCTCCATTTTATGCAACTGTATACTTCTGCTCTCATAAAAGTACAACATAGAATCAACTTGTAAATGAGGATGATCTAGCAGTATATTAAGTAATAACATTTACTTCCTGTTTTACACATTCTGTGGTATTACTACTTCCTCTTAAATTATTTGGAAGTACTTCTTCCATATATTATATACGTTGCAGTAGTACATTTTGTAACAAAGTAAGGATACACTTATTGTTGTTTCCCACTGAGCCCTGACGGTACTGTCTGTTACTTGGTTGTTCCCAACAGAAAATGGTGATTATAGTGGTGGTTGTGGTGGTCTTGCTGGCCCTACTAGCTCTCATAATCGGGTTGTCAGTTGGATTGAAGACAAGCTGATGAGCTGTTTGAGTAAGAGGAGAGCTGAGGGTGAGTAACTCTGGAACAAATAAGCTCTGTTGGGTGTAGCGCGCTTTGGAAAAGGGTTTGCATGCTCTTTTCCTCTAGCTCTGTTTGTTTTCTTTTTATCCACAGGGCTTACTTGAGGTGTGTTTGTGTGTTTCCAAAGTTCCTGGGTGTGTATCTTTCTCCTTTCTGCAGCACTTGCCTCTGGTTACCGCTGAACAAACAAAGCAGAGCTATAAATGAGTTTCAGTTGAAGCTGGTGTTGGTTTGCGGGCTTCTTTCAATGCTCATGTTCCCCGCCATTAACCTCAGTCTCTCTTTTATTGTCTCCCTCTCTGTAGAAGATGATCATAATTGGTGTTGTCTGTGCTGTGGTCCTTGTCATCCTCCTCATCATCATCCTCACACAGACAGTGTAAAAGGACTGCTGCCATCATCAGTTCATTCGTCCTCCATCAACTGGCCCAACAAAGAGAAGGCTAATGCTGATCACTCTATAATGGATAAGATAATATTTATAAAAACAGAAGGACAAGTGTTATATTTGACCTCTGGAAAAAAGAAGATCTACAAGACTTGTTATAATTATGCAGACTTTTTAGCCAATCAGAACCCCCCTTTCTGTCAGTGAGGGTCTGTTTGACCCCACTCTGCTTTGGCAGTTTGAGGATGCTCTGTTGCACATGAGGAAATAAGACTGACGCTGACATGAGGTGCAATAGCTGTTGTAACTCTATGGAGGAGAAAGGAGAATTGAAAATTAACTGATCACTTTAGCGTCACTAAACATTTCATTGTCCAACATTTGATTTGTTCCTCATCTGAAATTGATTTTAAACGTCCAGTAAGTTGGACCCATGTGAAGCCCTGTAGAAGCACATCACCTCCCTTATCATAATTTCTTGCCTTTTTATGAGCCTTGACACATTTTGTGATTTAAAAAAATAGCTACTGTATGTTCACTGTATTGGGTTTGGGGGGGGTTCCAGCACTTTCACATTTCAAAATATGTTTATTTTTCTGTAATGAAGCTCAGATGATCATGTGAATAATAATAATTATTATTATTTGTGTTGTTTATATGTAGCCCTTTATTTGGCTAGTTTCTTTAACTTGAAGAGGATCGGCGTGCTCACTTGTGATTCTTCAGTTTGTAGAGCCCAGTGGTTCTGGTGTTTTTAAATGAAGGATGATGCTTGTACAAACAAATGTTATGCTTAGGTGAAGCTAAGATGAGCAAATAAAATACAGGTTAGGTAGATAAACACGCATCCAGTGCTTTAAGACTTATCCAAACCCTGCTGCATCTTGGAGAAATGCCTGAATATTCGTTTATTTTTGTTAACCCGCTAAAAAGTTGACCATCTTGACCTCTTACATAGAGAGCTGATTCTCTCCTGTTGAAGAGCTGTAAAAACGTTTGTTTTAATGCCAATGAGACTTATAGTGACCCTAGATATTTCCATTTCAGTGCAGAATAGTCTTATAAGTAAATCATAGTAATATATTTATTATACTATTTAATGGTGTGAATGGTCAGTTAGGCCTCCCTGACTGGTCGCACTTCACCAGTGGGATTAGCATTTCCTGGCATATTCTAGGTGTCCATATATTTCTGCTGTAAAACCACACGTCAGTTGCCAACATTTCAAACTATTGCATTCCAATACAACAGCCCTGTGATCAATCCTATTCTCGTGAACTTTTAAACGAGTCTGAGTTCATTGATACAAAGAGACTAAACTACATTTCTGAGGAACTGAACCCAACCTTGAAAGAGACCATTAGGTTGAGTCCACACATATCTGCAACAGTTCAAACCGAACCTATACATAACTAGAAGGGCATTTGGAGAACTCAGACCTCTGCCAAGGCTAAATGTCCTACATAGCAATGTTAACCAAAAAAAGAAAATTATTTGTATGTCTGATTTAAAAAAAAAAAAAAAAAATGTGTTTACCAATGTCCAAGCCTTTCACTAAGTTTCCTGAACATCCAGCCAGCACTTTTTCCATTGTCTTACTGACAAACAGACAAACAAGCTTGGTGAGATGATGAAAATCAGTACTTATCTAAACCAAATGAAGTTGAGATTTATTACAGGGCTGTCGAATGCATTACTTTTAGCTGAGTGTACCTTAAAACTGGCAACATATTGTATTTCTGGTTTGTCACTATCATTTCATTAGGTGTTTTTATCTCGGTAGAGTATCTAACAGAGAGTTTATTGAACCACCATGCGCATGTAATCACCCAGAGCTTTAATATGGCAGTTACAGCAGGTGATTCAGGCTGTGCACACAGACCATCAGAGACACAGTTTCCACTCACTAAAGAGGATGTTATCAACAGGTATTGACCACATGCAAGGGTAAATGTCCTACGCATTATGAGGGCTGGCATTCATGAGGGAAGTCTTTGTTTCTGTTGACTGAATGGTTCCTTTTAATTCTGGTGGTGCAGGGAGGTAGCTCTTGAGAGTGAGAGGCCTCCCCAGCTTGGTCTTTTGACCGAGCACTCTGCTCTTTTGGCTTCTGCCCTCGACTGTTAAATCCTACTGCTCCGACTGCTCGAGCCTTTTTATTCCCACACCACTTTACCCATCAGCATGGGCTGCAATAAGAGCAGGAGGAGAAAACTAAAGCCGTTGTTCACTATGTTAAATTAAAGTGCCACAGATTTTATTCAAAATTAAAGATTTTATGTTTTTTAATGGTTGACTTGTGTTTCCTTGCTATATCATGCATGTCCCTTTGTGATTGATAGAAGGTTAATATTTAACAATGTCTAAACTTCTTGATGACTGCATGTTATAGAAGAGCAGTGTATGTTTATGAGTTGTAGTCGCTGTTGTCAGCAGATTGTCGATACAACATGTTAACCATTTTGATGCAAAGTACAGTTTTTAAAGGTGCACAACAAGTCTCCAACAGGAGGTAAGTTTTTCACCCTTCCTCTCTCTACACACAAACACACATACCCAAATATCTGTGTCCCTTTGTTCTCCTTTGGCTCAACCATTTTTTCAGACCAGTTTTCCCATGAATGTGAACAATAGGTGTAATTTAAAACCTTATTCTTGGGGCTGCAGCTGTCTGATAAATGTGTATTTCTTATTAACTCTACAGAAAAAGATGATGATAACATTGTGCTGTACCATCATTGGAATCGTTGGGTTCTCCTATCTCTACAGCTTCTTCTCATAAAAGCTTGTACACAGGTAACAAACTTACATCAGCATTTACCCTATAAAGACACACTAAAAGTTGAAATTGAAGTGTTTTCTTTGTTCTTTGTGAAGTGTTTCTAGGTAAGAGATTGTCAAGAAAAAGCAAGTTTCCTGAGGTGGTCCCCTATTTTTTTTATCCCGTCCATTATTTGAATCTCTCTAAAAAATCAAATAAAGTATTAGAAAAAAAGATAAATTGAACCTACCAGCCCTGTGCACTTACCCTTTTTCTTAATCATTTGAATTTAAATAGTTTTCTCGCTGTATGAAGTGTTTGAAAACGTGTGGTAAGTGTGTAGAATTTTCTCAAGTCTGCCTGTGTATAACCTGATGGCTGAACATGTGACTTATAATCATTTTGGACCATTATGGTTGACTTTAGTCTGCCGCCTCCTGGTGGTGCAAAAATATTTATATATTATCTGAAAGTTATTTCTAAGGATTCAGTCCACATTGTTTTTTGTAGTGGCTTTATTTGGCACCAAAATGTAATGAATGCTTATGCATAATCAATTAGGTAGTATTATTTGTTGTCATAATTTGAATAGATTGTGTGTGTGATTTCGTTGTGTGTGATCTGTCTGTATGAGTCTGCTGCTGAAATGCTTGTACTGATTGTGTTTCTGTAACAGCGTCTGCCACTCGCTCACTGGCTGTGTGTAAACCCAGTAAAGCCTGTTATGTAATAAAAGATTTCCTTGCGTGTCGGTGTCTGCTTCACTTCTTCTGTTGGAGGTTTGCACTCAGCCTTTATGCATGGTTTCCTCTCCCCCAACACCATTCAGAGCATATTTTACTTTATGTGATAAGCTACAGGAAATCTATGGCGATGCAAGACATAACGTGCATGAACGGCTTCCCTGACCTAATTTCATCCCCCATCTCACTGTTCCTCCAAACCAGATGCAGGCTTGGTGCACCGTGGGGGCGGGGTCTACTGCAGGGTGCGCTTGTTTTCCTGCTTCTCGTGTGGAGGATAACTAGGATTGGGAAAACAGTGATACATTTAGATTAAATCGTCAACGGTGATCCACAGAAGGAACATAAGCATTACATCAGGACATGAACAGACAAGAAGGGTAGGTAATTAAAAACACAACAGTGCACATATGAATCCTAGTACATTAATTTTGTGAAATATGCATTTGTTTTTATTATGCATTTATGTACCCAGAAATAATATGTGGAAATAATATTATCTTCTAATGACTCTGATAAGTTAACATAATTACAAATTGAACCTACGCACAAATCTACAATTGGGCTACAATTTGTCAATATAAATGTAAAGAAATAGCAGCCAGGTACAACATTAAGATAAACCAACATCTAGAAATACACTGTAGAAAAGCAGCTCAAGGGTAAAAAAAAAGCGAAGAAAAAACATTGACAGTGATCAATTAAAATGAAACAAGATTAAACATGATAAAATAAAAAATAAATCCACATTCACTATAAAACGTTTCATAATGATGGAGGTTCAGTACAGTACAATAGCACCCATTATTTTAATACACACATGGTGTGAAGCATTTTTCTAGAAAAATAAATAGGCCTAGGCGTAGCCTACATGATAAAAAAAAATTCCAGGGTACAAGCAAGAAATTGCTTAATTGCTTACAATGGCTATTTTTAACTATCCAATAACACAGAAAAGGAAGTTCTGATATTTCAAGTATCCTACATTATATTGCAAATACAATCTGAAGGCCTACTGAATGCAGTACCTTGAAGTGGAGTATATTCATAGTTATTAAATAGTGAATATGTATTCCATTAACAGAGTTATAATTTAATCAATATCACCCCACTCTTGAACCACCAGACAGTGGAAGATAAAACAAGTACACTTGTATACATTATAATCATGTTTAAATAGCACATGTTCTGTCCAATGAGAGTGTCCCTATGCTAATTTCTGTAGCAGTGAGGAAAATAGGGGGGTGGGCCATGAGCTTTTTTTTTTTTTACTTAGTGTGTATGTGTATGTGTGTTTTCTGACCAGCTGAAAATGGCGGCTCGAAGCGTCGAATCGTTCTAACTTTATCGCACAATAATAAACACAACAGTATACTCGGCCGTTATCGAATAACATGGGGAGAGACTTTGCTGAAGGGCTGCCGACCCTTTAGCTGGGACACATTACTTTCACCACTAACGGGAGTTGGAACGCAGAGGTAACGATAAAGAAGCCACCAACTGCCGTATAGAGGCTAACGTCAGCTAGCTAGCTATCGTTAGCCGAAGACTTAAGAAAGGGCTTGTCAACTGTTCTAGTTTATGTTAGCTGATAACGACAGTGGAATAACGTTATTATTTACATGGACACATTAGTGGAGAATGTCCCAGTTTAAAGGTTGTTGCTATATTTGGCACTTGTCTTCATACTGAAATGCAAGTTTAACGTAAATATGTTGTGCTGCTACCATTAGCTTAGCACCTCTCTCGGCTAACGGCTAACTAGCTTCTCAGAGAGAGAGAGAGAGGGGTGTGTTTCTGTCCGACAAAACGTAAAACACAGGAAAAC